GTCTTCCAGTGCAGTTGGTGCTGATATAGCATACATTTGGTCCTGTTCCATGTGAGGTACTGAAGGCACATATAATACTGAGGCCACAGACACCAACCTGGAGTAGGATCTCTGACTCTGGTCCTGACCCTGGTGGAACGCCCAGGGAGTCCAGAAAGGCCACTGGGCAGGAGCCTGCCACTGACCAGGTCAGGGCCCCGGAAGAAGCTACTGATGTCCACATCTGTCCGTCCTGGATCATCTGCTTCTCCTGGATCTACAGGATTCTGCTTCCAACTCCAAGGTCTCGCTATAAGAGAACCAACTGTGCACTGATGCCCAAGAGCGGAGACAAACTCGGGGACCGATGTGGCTCCCCTATCCGCCCACTGGTGGATAGTATTGGAGACCGGTGCCGAGGAGATGACGACTGGCACGGTACCATCGCCAGCTTGCCTCTGGACAGCACTGAGGGTTTCATGGGTGCCACTGACACTGAGCTTGGTGTCCTGTCTCGCCTCGGAGAGGTGCCGTGAAGGCAATGAGGTCCTTGGCAGCCTCAAACATCTTCAGTGTGGAAGGCAACTGCAGATCACGGGCCTTCCCTGATAGGGGAGTGCTGGGGACCTGGACTATGCAGGGGCAGGAGTCAACATAACCCTAGGAGAGCAGCCTCCATCAGAAGGATCTTGAGGCGCTGATCCCTCTCCTTCTGAGTCCTCGGACAAAATTCCCTGCAGATTTTGCAGCATTCATTCTGGTGGCTTTCCCCCAAACACTTCAAGCAGAAAGTGTGGGGATCACTTCTTGGCATAGACTTGCCACACGCTGCACAGGGCATGCCCCGGTACTGGGAGAAAAGGAGGGGAGATACCCCGAAATGAAACTTGTTTCAACTACACTAGACTAACTACCACTATAACCTATTTACAGGAAAAAAGTTCAAGACTGCTAGAGAAGGTACTCTTGCAAAGCAAGAGATAACAAGGGTTCCTGCTAATCATCAAAAGAAAGAAGGAACTAAGGTGGCGGCAGGCCAGCAGGGCCATATATTCAGTGCCATGGAGGCACAATTCCAGGGGGCACCTGGACCGACCCGACAGGTGCTGCTAGGGGAAAAACCTTCCGGCTGCCATGCACACGGCATGCGCACACCTAATTGGAATTGACATGAGCAATCACTCAAAGAAGAACTAGAATGCCCCAGACTCTCAGTCATACGGTGCTGGTGCAGTTTTACATTCAGAGCACACGTACAAGAATTTAACGGATTCCCAATCAGACAGATTTCACACTGAAGGCAGTCAAAACCCACTCGTTAAGGGTTCAAAACTCCACAGTGCCGGGGGGGTGGGGGGACGACTCAGTACCTCACATGATCAGGCTCTGTGATTTCCATGTGGCACCACATTCTCTAAGTACCATTAGACACAGACTGAGGATGCCTGAATACAAACTTCACAGGATCAGCTTATGAAGTCAGAGCACATGCATGAAAAAGGGAACAGGTTAGTGAGGTGTCAAAGCAGAAAACACGGGGCTTGATTCTTCCAGTAGGGTTATCACACGGATGGGATCCCCAACTGTACTAAGCACAACTTGACAACCCCACCAGTGCAAAGCTACTTGCCACAACCACCCGAGACAGAGGGGCTGTCCATATAGACAAGGACTAGGCAGCGTAACATGCATTCAAAAGCACGGATATGTGCCCACAAGCTTAAATTCATCTTAAAGACGTTGCATGTTGGATAAAAACAGAGGCATGTGATAACCTCCGTTAAAAGTCATACCTTACTCAATTACCAGTCAGATTCTCTATAAACCTTTCAATGGAGAAAACATGATAGATGTCCTTTGCAAACAAGTTCAACTGTGTATAAGCCTTTCTGAGGAGCAAGTCAACAGCATAACAGCAGCAAAGACCAAAGTTCACTACTGTATCTTCTGACATTACTGGTTCAGATTTTACAACTGCCCTTTGCAACAGTCAATTTCAAGACCTATAAACTTCATGGCTCTTAAAAAAAAGAAAACAGGAGCCACAAAACCTAGAGCTAGGAACCACAAGATCATGACTAGCAACTACTTAGATGATTAAACTTTTAACTGTTCCAAGCACTAGCAACTACCATACAAACAGCATGAATTGCAATTTCATTAATTATTTGGAAAGAAAAAAAAAGGCTGAAAAAATAATATCCAAATTTCAATAAAAGATGTTTTCTAGTTTGCACTGGAATTCTGATAATAGATGAATTAAGAGGAATCTCACTCAGTGTCCCTCCCTTCATACTTTAAAAAAAAAAATTTGCAGCATATATCAGAAACCCTGCACTGGACTATTTGTTAATCCCACTCAGCCCCACAATACCCACTCTCACCCGCTCCTGCACTGTTGCATTTTTATCCTGCTCCCACCTGCAAAAACCTGAGATCCCACAAATCCTGCAAGAGAGATACCCCCATCTTACTAAAAAAAAAAAAAAGTTTGTTAATTTTTTACACACACACAATTCCAACACAATTTTTACCACTAAAACAATTTAACAAATCTTGCTTAAACCATGTAAAAAAACCAAAACTTGAACTCCTGTTAGACAGCAAATCTGCTTCTATCCCTCGCCTAAATTTAACTATTAAAACCTTTATTTAAAAAAAGAAAAACTTGCTTTACGTCGCTGAAATTCTATTTATGACAAACTGACGAGAGATTTAGTGTTTTTCCACAAATTATCGCAGTTTGGTTTTTTTACCCACCCAATCCCACCCGCATCAAAGAACATTTTACCCACTCCCACTATTATGGCAGTGGGTCCTGCAGGACCCATGGGATCCCAGTCCCACTGCCAGACTTTAGCGTACTATAAAAGTCTACCCATTTGCTGTGGGCTCTGTTGATGCAAACTACTAATTTAAAGAGACACACGCTTTTCTAAAAAGTGTATCTGCCTGAAAATGTTGTCCCTACTGTTATTCCAAGTAACCTCTAGAAGGACTAATTGAAAGATTAAATAAAAAGATATCAAATGTAAACAAACTGAGAAAATAGAACTCTGTGTATAGTCAATTTCCCTGTTTTCCCTGTAGGGTCAGTCAATATCTTCTATGTAGGAGAAACCCACAGAACAGAGGAGATCAAAAGAATTTTTAGGAGGAGGAAAAGTGAATGAACACACAAACAAACTCGTAAGGGGATTCAGAAGCAGATAAAGTACCTGAAACTACTTCTAACAGGCTTGTTTAAATGGACCTGATTTAAGTTGATAGGAGCAATGGGATCACCATGAAATTATTCAACACACTTTTAGGGCTCTCTGTACATAATGCTCTGTAAGAGATTTACTGCATGATGTAATAACATAACACTAGAGACAGAATAAAAATGCAACTTCAGAGTGCTTGCTTCTAGCGTTGGGATTTAGGCAACAAATCACAACTAAATCCCTCTTCTGAAAGCCAACTGAATTTTACTAGCATGAAAGAACATTGCTAGAGCAATAATCAAGTTGTATCAATTTAATCTCTCAACATTTAACATGTCTCATTAGTGTTCTACAAGCTTGCAGGAAAAAATTTCAAACCTCTCCCGCAAGAAAAAAAACAGGGGTTTTTTAAGTCTTTTTAATTTTTCAATTAGAGCTATTCCTCCACTGTTTCATAGCTCTGGTAATTGTACCACTGACTAACCTCCAAATAACTCTTTTTATCATCACTACTATAAACAGCCCCTCCTCACTCACAGTGATAGGAATCTGGAAACTCACTGTAGCTGCATCCCACCCTACAGCCTCTCAAAACACTACAGAGAAACTACTTGCTGGAGCAAGAGGAATCCCTGTGCTGAAACACTGCTCATGCAATTCCTGGGGAAGTACAACCACATCCTAAGTAGACAGGCCAATGCATAATGGCAGTAACAAATTACTTGGTTTTAAAGGTAGGGGAAAGGGGGAAATATTTTAAAGCCACACTGTTGGGTCAGAGTAGGCTCAAAATTTAGGGTATGTAAAAAACAACTTTTGGTCAAGTGAAAAAATGTATTTTCAAAATTTCTTTGCATACACTTTACTTTTAGAGCATTATTATTCACCAGAAGTCTACACCACCCTACCATTGCAGCATTCAGCCACAGTATGAGATCAAAGAAGTGAAATCGACTGCTCCAAGTGACAGGATGAAAAAAGTAAACAAATGGCAAAAGTGAACTGGCTTTACAGAAAGCTTTCAGTTTTAATAATTTCAGGTGCAGCTACCAGATACCAAAGAAAATACTGTATAGCACAGAGACAGGAGAAGAATTCCCCAAAGTTTACTTCATATGTTCATTAAGGATTACTAGATTGCTAAGAACAACTACACACAAGTCTTTTTTTTAAAACACGAGTTTCAACAATTTGAAAATCTGGGGCTTTTATTCCTGGAGATGTAGATCAGTAATCTATTGTTACACATTGTAAATCTGTCTCACTCCCACCTGATGAGGTCTTTATTGGATGAACACCCAGTGAACCATCCCTCTTCACTTCTGCCTTTTTCACCCCTTTTCTTTTCCCACTGTCAGGTCTCTCCTTTTTAGGAAGAGGCATCCCCTGCTCTTTGCATTAATTGTATAATTTTACACAGACCTCAAAAACAAGAGACAAATAAATATTTCCAACCTATTTTACATGGTTCTTCATACAAACAATCCAAGAGACATTTCTTAAGCACTTACAGAACATGCATTTTTGCCAAAGTACAAAGTCATCACATAATACACCTTCCATTAGAAAAATATCCACAGGCCAAACCAACTACTCACTCCTCCAAACACTCAAGGGACCAGATAGCAGCTTTCCAAGGTCCCTTCACTTAAAAGCTGGGTGTCGCTACATTTGTCTGGTGCATACAGCTCCTTCAACAGGCTCCACTGCAAGATTGGACTTCTGTACATATTGAGTTTCCCCACCTCCCCAAACACTTTTCTGGGTTCCTCAAACTTTCCCCCTTAAAGGGTCATATCACAATGACCTTCTCACCTGGATGAAGGCTGACAGGACTCTTCATAGCCCACGAATGTTACTCTTGGATTGGTCATTGCAGAGCAATGTGAAGCCCCAGGTCTCGTGGTACTTCCTGTCCCCTGAAGCTGGAGATGAGGTCCTCAGTCCAAGCCTCCCGATTGAGCCGATAATTCTCCTTGCTTATTACTATTCTATGACTTCCTGCTCTTGGAGGAGATTGTGCTGCAATAAGAAGTCTCTGCTCATTTTTCTAAACTCAAAGTGATCAGCTTGAAATTTTTTTGCCCTGTCAAATACTGTACAATGAAACATTTAAAAACAACTGGTACTTTCCAAAGGTTGCCTACAGTAGTTCTAATGTAACTATATTAAGCAGAAACTATTCACAGAGTTCCTGCAAAAGGACTTCAGCACTAGGGAACACTGGTGGGCTGCACAAGTGCTTAAAGTGTGTCCCAGTCATTTTATGGAGCTCTTCAATATGAACAACTCTCAGTCACCTGTATCAGATCCTGTAGCAGTGTGACACACTGGGCCATCCATTCAGCCGCTCAGAATGGAATGACACTACTCAAAACTATATTAGCCACACACGAAAGCACTCTTGTTTTTTCAGGGAGATGCGCAGACTGCTAACTGCAAGTGCAAATGCTTTACTTAAATCAGCAAGTCCATTTGGTAAAAACCTGTCCAAGGCATGCAAGTAAAAGCACAATACTTCATTGTGCAATCAAGAGCTTTTAGGTCTCCCATCCTCAGATGTGAGGAGCCGAACAGTCCACATTCAGGAGATAGTGACTTAGAGCAGTGGTTCTCGGCCAGGGGTATACATATCCCTGGGGGTATGCAGAGTTCTTCCAGCAGGTACATCAACCCATCTAGATATTTGTCTAATTTAGAACAAGCTACATAAAAAGCACTAGCAACATCAGCACAAACTAAAATTTTATACAATGACTTGTTTCTCCTGTTCTATATACTATGCACTGAAATGTAAGTACAATATTTATATTCCAATTGATTTACTTTATAATTATATGGTAAAAATGAGAAAGTATGCCATTTTGCTGTACTAGTGTGTGGGACCCTTTTGTATTTTTATGGCTGATTTTGTAAGCAAGTAGTTTTTAAGTGAGGTAAAACTTGGGGGTATGCAAGAGAAATCAGACTCCTGAAAGGGGTACAGTCATCTGGAAAGGTTAAGAGCCACTGACTTAGAAGCACAGCAATGAACTATGCAAACACTTTAGTCCACCATTACTCTATTAATGAAACTAAACCCTAGATCACTGTTATTAAGAGCTCACACAAAAGACAAGAGCATTACGAGTTTGCTGTACATAATGGGTGGGAAAAACACCATTATCTGTCTTGCCCCAGCACTGCACCCTTTTATTTGTAGTTATTAGTGCAAGCTTCTTTTTTTTTTTTTAGACAATGGATGTGCTATTGTAGGTACCTTTATGCCGTGCCAAAGCACATATACACAGCAATTCAGAACAATCAGCCTTGCTTTCATGGGAGCAAAGGTTGCAGCCAAATGAAATGGGTGGAGACCACATTAAACAATCTTGGAATCTGCGAATAGGATATAGGAAAATGTGACCATAATGCAGATGCAGCGTTCCCTTTCACTTTCAAACGTTACGGGTGAAATAAAAGCTTCAGGAAACAAATTTAATTATTTGAATATATTAACTAAACAGAATTTTTCTCACTATGTTCACGAGATACAAAGAGTCTTAAAATGGTGCACTAAAAGGTCTTAAACTGAAAGGTAAGTTTCTCAGCCGAGAAGGAACACTCAGATTAAAAGATACAGGATACCTGTGAAATGTCAGCATATCGATTCTAAGAACGTCCATCCATCCATGCAGAACATTCCCGTCTCTAAGATGTGACCAGATTCATATTTGCCTTTTAAAAAGGGGGATTTTCAAACTGAAACACCTTCCTTCCCCTTGCTTGCTTTTCAGGTGTCTGTTAGTCAGCTTTCTCCTTCACAAATCAGGTTCTGCCTCTGCATGATCATGCATTGAAGTCATGTCCTTGAGTCTGTGACATCAGTCTGTTGCCATGGTAATGATGAGGGCTGTCCAAAATTCAGCATTATGGCATCACTGCAGGATCAAGCAGCAGAGAAAGCTAGCATCTGAAAGTTAACAAGTGTGGCAGGAACAATTATTAAAGGCCTTTCATTTAAATTTTAGCAATATGTTAGCCCCAAGAGATAGCTGCATTCTGAAAAGTATCTTTTAAAAGCCTTCTGTTACACAGATGTCCAGGAGTTCATAGAATCATAGACTTTAAGGTCAGAAGGGACCATTATGATCGCCTAGCCTGACCTGCTGCACAACGCAGGCCACGGAATCTCACCCACCAACGCCTATAACAAACCCCTAACTTATGTCTGAGCTACTGAAGTCCTCAAATCATGGTTTAAAGACTTCACGGTGCAGAGAATCCTCCAGCAAGTGACCCGTACCCCACGCTGCAGAGGAAGGCAAAAAACCCTGACCTGGGAACACCATCAAGGCTGACAGCAAGTACCGGCCCAAAATGTGGTCTTACTAAGACAACTATAGGGGACGCAGTGTGCCCATACAAACAGAAGGGAGAACGTGTCTGCTAGGGCAGCCAGAGTGATGAGTGACAGCTTGGAACAGCAGATATATCTTTGGGTAGATGACACTACATGGGTCACTCGTGTTCCCACAGAAACCCAGACCTATCCTGCAGCTGTAATTTATCTACAAGGGATGGCTCCTGCTGGGCTGTTATTGTGGAATGACACTTTTTTTGGCCTCAGAGTTCCAGGCGGTCATGAGATAAGGTCATTGTTATGGAAAAGGTGATGCTCCACATGGCAGGCCCTCCAAAAATCACAAGAGGCCTTGAGTTGGATGCCAAGAGTTTGCACTGAGGAGAGGAAATCAGAGAGCAATGATCTGTGCACCAGTAAACAATTCCCATAATAAATTGTGCAACAATTAAAAAAGTACCTTAGCGTTGTCACTCCGTGTAGGCTTAGACATTACAGTTCTCTAGGGTTTCTTGCACACTCCCGGGAATGACATTTCTGAAGAGCAAAAGAAAGAGGGAGGTTAGAACCACAAAAAATTAATATGTAACGAACACGCTCTTTAAACTAAAAAGAGCCACCAGAAACATCAACAAATGCACAGCAGAGAACACACTGACCAGGAAACAGATCTGGAGGGTTCCACTGTGAAGGGACCATATGAATCATAGGACCAGAAGGGACCTCGAGAGGTCATCTAGTCCAGTCCCTTGCACTCATGGCAGGACTAAGTATTATCTAAACCATCCCTGACAGGTGTTTGTCCAACCTGCTCTTAAAAATCCCCAAGGATGGAGATTCCACAACCTCCCTAGGTAATTTATTCCAGTGCTTAACCACTCTGATAGTTAGGACTATTTTCCTAACATCCAACCTAAACTGCCCTTGCTGCAATTTAAGCCCATTGCTTCTTGTCCTATAAGAACAACAATTTTTCTCCCTCCTCCTTGTAACAGTTTTCAAGTACATACAAGGTTGTTATGTCCCCTCTCAGTCATTTCTTTTCCAGACTAAACAAACCCATTTTTTCCAATCTTCCCTCATAGGTCATGTTTTCTAGACCTTTAATCATTTTTGCTGCTCTTCTCTGGACTTTCTCCAATTTGTCCACATCTTTCCTGAAATGTGGCTCCCAGAATTGGACACACTATTCCAGTTGAGGCCTAATCAGCGCGGAATAGAGCGGAAGAATTACTTCTTGTGTCCTGCTTACAACACTCCTGCTAATACATCCCAGAATGATCGCTTCTTTTGCGATAGCGTTACATTGTTGACTCATATTTAGCTTGTGGTCCACTATGACCCTCAGGCCCCTTTCAGCAGTACTCCTTCCTAGGCAGCCATTTCCCACTTTGTATGTGTACCACTGATTGTTCTTTCTTAAGTGGAGTACTTTGCATTTGTCCTTATTGAATTTCATCCTATTTACTTCAGACCATTTCTCCAGTTTGTCCAGATCATTTTGAATTTTAATCCTATCCTCCAAAGCACTTGCAACCCTTCCCAGCTTGATATTGTCCATACATGAATGACAGTCAAGGTCAGCTCAAAGGAGAGGAAAGAGTTGTCACTTTACTGAAATGTGATCTAAACCCACCAGCAAGACATTGTAGCAACTGTCTAGCCTTAGGCTAGAGGTGGAACCATACCCTATCTGACGGAAAATGGCTATATTACCTTTGTCATAAGTTTAACACTTTTCAAAGACACCCACAAAGGCACAACAGGAGGGATTCTCTCCTCTGCTACAATCCACGTTCACTGCTCCGTAAGAGCTTCACAGCCAGTCAGAGGAGAGTTTCCCCAGCACAGATGGTGTGCTGGACTTGTGCATGCCCCTTGCAAGTACCAGCATAGGGGGTGGGGCACAGCTATCAACACGCTGCTACAAGCCACTCTGGACATCACAGACAGTTCCCTAAAATTACACCACAAACAGTTTTGATCACTAGGATTCTAGGCTGATTGGAAGTGCAAAGGGGGCTTAAAAGCCACCTCTGCTTTTCCCTCCCTCTGGCTGCACCTCTCCATGCTGCAGCTCCAGAAAGTGACACAACGTCTTGCTCCCTTAAAAGACCAAGGACTGCTACAATTGCTCACGGACAAACGTATGCGTTCACTGAGGGCTGCCAAACACCTGGCTCAAGAGTGCCAAGTTACCACCGTGAAAGGGTGGCTACCCTGCCACCAGGGAAAGTTCCATTGGTCAGCCATGAACTTGGGGAACAGTGTCATCATTGCTTCCAAAACAAGTGCTGCCCCTCCAGGGAAAGTGCAAGAGGTGTGGGCATCTAGGGGCATCCATCCGTCAGTCTGTGGACGGGATAAATGTCTCCGTGGTAGACTGCAGAGCATCCATTTTTAAAGATGCCCATCCTTTTCCTTGCCTGTTCCTCTGTTTGCACCAAACACGTGCCCTTCTTGGGGCCAGGCACTGGCTTCCAAACACCTCTCTACCACAATCAGACTCTTCATCCTCACAGCAAAGGCCCTGCACAGTGCTGCTCCTGCCTTATAGTATCTATGGTCACCCAGCCTCAAAACCCTGCTTACCTCTTACACTTTAGAAGTTTCAGCTCACTTTTTGGCTCCCCTGCCTTCTGCCACACCCATCACCTACTGCCCGTAGCCCTTGAACATCCTTACGTCCTGGGAGCCCCTCAGTGCCAACTGGCAGAGGGCACACTATACCATCACTCACATCAGGCCTGACACATTCATTGCCCACAAACCACCGTTGTCATAATCTGTATCTAAAAAAAGTTGTGCAAAGTATCATAAGCAAACTGCCAACATGCTGGTCCTGAAATTCATTGTGTGATGTATGTACAGCAACATACAATTGCATGCTGGAAATATGTTCTTAAAATGCATTTGGCAGGCAGTGCATAAAGTCCAGCCTGCCCCCGACAAAAGGAATGTGTATTTACCTGTCTGAGCAGCTTGATCACAGAGGCCAAGGAAAAGTACACTGAGCTACCAGATGAACAAAGCCATGGAGCTAGCAAGCAGGGGAGATGAGCTCTTAACAATCACATCAGGGGATGGAGTCTGCACCCCGAGGAAGCCTTCCAGGCTCTTGAAACAGAGACAGTGAACTTTGAGGTAATAGAACGAGGGCAGAGACTTTTGAGTTAAGGGCCAAAGGGGAGCAGCAGCCTTTAGTTCATAAAAAGTGGATCCTGTTGACCTGGGAAGCAACAGTAGCTGGAAACTGATTATAGGTGAGAAACCTGCTCAGACAAATATTGTAACTTGCTGAAATTAAGTTTTAGTCACTAGAAAGCATGTTTTGTCTCGTTTTACTTGTATCATATCTGTCCCTTTCATCCTGGCCATTTAGCACTTAGATCTCTATTCTTCCTTAATAAACTTACTCTTCTTTTATTACAAAGCACTGAGAAGCTATTGTATTAAACTGGAAAGTGAGTCCTCAACTAACCTAACAGGCTGATGAGCACACAGTCTCTTTGGAGGCAGAGAATGTAACTTCTGAGTGAGAGGGACTGGACACTGCAAAGACACATCTCTGGGGAACTTGGGAATTGGGCTTTCCTGGTTAGCACCTGCAAGTCAAGGTTTGGCCTGACAGAGTCCTGAAGAGTTTGCTGGCAAGGCAGATAGGCTGGTGTGGCAGGGAGCTGACACCCAGCTTAGCAGCAGCAAAGCTCTCACTTGCTGAGGCTGAGAGGGGTGACAGTTGCTCACAGTTCTAGGTGCCACAAGAGAAGCATCACAATCCTCCCTGACTCACTCTCAACACTTCCTCTTCCAACACTGACCTTCTTTGCTATAATCCTGGACCCACCCCCAGTTTTTAAAAGAGGAACCAACAAGCAGCATCTCACGATCTCAGCTCACCCTCTGCTAACCCCTCCACCCACTTCTTGTTTATCAGCATCCTCCCACACTGGGTTATCAAATTTAAAACAAACCACAGGGCGGGGACCCACAGTTTATTGCCACACACACTTATGGTGCGGTAATAAATAAATTCCACAGCCTGTTCAAGCCTAAAGAATCTGAGCTTGGTTCAGCTCTGGTTTACACCAGCTTCTGAATAACTGAACGGTTCAAGTGCCACTATTAACTAATTCACTGCCAATCACTTTAGTGGAAACACCTAGTTTGAGTGATTATCTAGCATCACTGGATGTAGTGGCAAATATTAGGACAGCGAATTGTTGCCGAGGAGCGCTTGGGAAGAAAACAAAAGTCAAATCTCTCCACCTCTAAATGTAACATCACCTCCACCCATACCCAGAAGGATGAGAGAAAGAAGAAATGCATCCTCTCCAGCACAAAGCCTCAATTGTCTCCCAATTTCCAAACCCAAACACACATTCCTGCTGCCAAGAAAACCAACTGTCCAAGGCTTCAGCCTTTTCCCAGCCCTTCTGACAGCTGTTACAACAGCAGTCACCTGGTTTTCAGTACAGGAATCTGTAGCACAGTGAGAGCTGAAACTCTGAGGCAGCATTAAGTAAACCGAATTTAATATCAAAATGAATCCAAGGCCCTGCTGCATAACTGGAGCCTCTCCTGCATAATGCAGGCTGAATGAGCCCTACACAGGACACAGGGCCTTGTTTATAACTAATAATTGAGATGGTTGGGGGAGCGGGGGAAGAGGATGGGGAGAGAGAAGGAAAAGTGATTTTTTTTTTTAAACATACCCCACGCACGATAAGATACATAGAGAATTGCATCCAGGCCCCACAAGGAGAAAGTCATTTCATGTCTACATGGCACTACACCTGAAATGTGTGTCTTGGGTTCTTGGCCCTCCAGGTCAGCATTGTAAGTTTTGCCCCCTGAGAATAAGAGGGACAGGATGCTTTGTGGAAGACACACTGAAGGCAAGGACTGAAACAGGGCACTGGACCTTGGGGCACATGAGCTTGTCGTAATGCATCCATTATGGCCCTTGGCCTTTTACACTGGAAGCTGCAGTTGCAGGTCCCGTATTTGCTCCTAGCATATGCTCTGCAGAAAGTCTCATATAGGGCTTGCTGCCTCTTACACAGAGGGGCAGGCAAAGAAGATCCAAAGGGCATTCTATGCAGGGAATAAGAACTGGCGGGGGAGATGTGAAGCCCTGGAGACAAAAGCCAGAAAAGACCCTGAAGAGTGGTGAAACTGTTTCAGGTTGTGCAGTTTTGGTCCGAAGCCCCAAGAAAAGAAATGGAGCTGTGCCACTGGTTGAAGCGTGATTTCACTATCCCTGGCCAGCAGATCACCTATCAGCTTACGTGGGCATAAAAGGACAAATTCAAAATAGTAGATACAAATACCATGATGGGAACACACACACTACTTGGTAAAAATGGGTTAGCCCCTGCAAGTATCTAATATGACCAAGGAAAGGTGATATAATCATTCCTCAACCACCTGTTACCTGGCTGATGGAACAGAACCAGGTTTTATGGCATCTTTGGCACCATGTAGAGGAAAGGCCATCACTACCAGACAAGAGCCGTATAACATTTCTCACCCTG